AAGTACCAAGTTTCATTGAAATGTAATGCTAACTACTTATATCAAATGCTGAAAATTAATTAATTATGCAAATTAGGTAATTAATATGTACTGATATTACCATAAAAACTATCAGGTCTGTGCAGTGTCGTATGACATCTATGTACCAAGTTTCATTGAAATGTGATGATTAGTACTTGAGATATCAGTGGAAAAACCGAAAATTGACTAATCATTATGCAAATTAGGTAATTAGTATCCACGGATTATTACCAAAAACTAATCAAAACCTAGCATTAGTTCAGAGCATCTATGTACCAAGTTTCATCAAAATCCAATGAGTGGTTGTTTAGATATCAGTGGAACAGTCATGGAACCACTAAAAAATAGCTAATTATCATGCAAATTAGGTAATTAATATGCACGGATTTTTACCAAAAATTAATCAAATCTGCGCATATGTTCAGAGCATCTATGTACCAAGTTTCATCAAAATCCAATGAGTGGTTCTTTAGATATCAGTGGAACAGTCATAGAACAGCTAAAAATTAGCTAATTATCATGCAAATTAGGTAATTAACGAGCATGGATTTTTACCAAAACCTAATCAAATCTGCGCATTGGCCCAGAGCATCTATGCACCAAGTTTCATCAAAAACCGATGTATGGTTCTTGAGATAGCAGTGGAACAGTCGGACACACATACACACATACACACATACACACATACACACATACAGACACACTAACTGCAAAGACTCCCATTTTGTGCTTCGCACATGGGAGTCAAAAATCCAGGAAAGGTTCACCCAAGGTACATATATACCAAATATGAAAGCAATAAGGCCTACAGTTTTCAAGAAATCAAAAATGTTAAAGGTTAACGTGGATGACCACAGATGGCGACATTGGGCAATATAACTATAATATCAGCTTCACTTGACGAGTTTGATAGCTAAAATAATAATTCTTCCCTTCCAGAATTTCTAACGGCAGTGAGTAAGTTGTATGTATATTTCATATATGAACACACTAAATAAAAGAACCATCATCCGTGAACTGGCTGCCCAACTAGGAATCAACCATTACAGTGTTTAAGGTCTTTCAGTATGCTTTACTGTACAACACATGTACAAAGAATAAAAGTTGTGTTCATGTCAGTTTTCAGTTCAAACTTTTAGTAGTAGCAGACACAGGGTGCATGTGAGTAAAGACAGATGTGTTAATGCCACCATTATCTGTATTAACACAACTAAATAAACTAAAGTAGACAGTCTTCTAACATTTATTCAGCTGCTTCTTCCAGACTTAGAATAAAGTCAAATTCCTCTGAAAAAAATGAGAACATAGTAAAATTATAGCAGCCTTGCCCTTGAGTACACATTTTTGATATCACATACAAAAATAGTAACAATAAATGGCGGGTACAATTATATGAAGATAATGCACATTTTATCCTTTCATGTAGTACAAACCTGATGTCAACGGCTGAACTGAAAGTCTGGCTCTAGTGAAGAGTGCTACATTACTCAGTGGACCATCAATCTGTTTATGTTTCATATACATATCTTTAAGTTCTGAGAGTGGAATGAATCGCTTAGTCTTCCGAACAAACTGCACGTCCACCATGTACCATCGTGGATTCTCTTTTGTACTTGTTCTGAAAATAAGGATGCAATGATAATTTCACAACAGTACCAGTAATTTAACAAAGTCTCATGCTTAATTCTTTTGTTATATTAAAGGGTGGCAGTCGTCGCGCCGCGTCCTGTTCGATATGGGACTCATAGCGACGTATACAACGCGTGTAAAATACATTGTTTATTTACATGAAATTCGAACAGGCGCTGCGCGACGCGACGACCACCGTGCTTTAAGTCTCCAAATTTTCTCAAATTTCAAAATAAAAATTATGCATCTGGCAGTAAAAACACCAGAATTTATGTAATGTGTTGACTACTAGTAGTCCAGACTATAAGTTGACATGATTTGGCACAGCAGTGGCTGGACAACTTGGACAGCTTCCAAGTCAGCATAAAAGCTGACACTGGGCAAGTCATACACAAGCTGTACAGAAATGATTGACCACAGTGCCCCTTAATGCAGCTATGCCAGTATACATTTTGCTTCAGTCATAAATCCACATGGGATAATGGTATAGAAGACGCTAATTAATAGGCATTTTTTTTATACCAGGATCCAAACATGAAAAATTTAAATGAAATCAACATTTATTGTGTACACATACATACATTCTCAATTATTGTAAAAACATTTATTTTCACTATTTTGTCAAGAAAACTACGAGTTTTATTGTACTTATGAAGATACCTCAAAGTATGCATGAAGACCGATGCGCAGCGGAGGTCAATGCGTTGGCGTACTGTCTGAGTGCATACTTTGAGGTATTCTCGTAATAACATTATCATTATACATCTTTTCCTTTCAAGGATACATCTGGGAATGCCGAAATTAAAAAAGTTTAGAACAGAATCAGCGAACTTCTTTGTGTGGGGGCCAGTCAAACCCTGGTGGCAGCCATTATTAGAAGATGCTTACGTGCGTAATCATTCCATAATTGGAATTCACATTTCCTTAAATGGTAGGATGAAAATACCCTGTAAAATACGGCAAAATTACGGAATGCTGTAACTTATGGCATTACGGTGACAGATGTATAATAATAATAAATAAAACCATATCCATACCATATCAGGGATGAGGATTTATTTTTTGGGTAAATAAACAATGTATTTTACAGTACACGCATTGTCTCAAGGGAGCCATATTAAAATGTCACAATGATGCCACCTTTAGACACAAGAAAGAGGAAGGTAAGATCGATATACAGATATCTGACAATTAACCTACCTGTCATAGTGTGGGTCTTTACTGTCATACTGTGTATGATCAACATATCCTTCTTTCACAATCTGAGAAATTTAAAGTAAGTTTCTTGTACATAAACTAGCACTGGCAACAAATAATATGGCATCAAGTTTTTACTCCAAAAGTCTATAAATATGCAAAAATTACTCTACAATTTCTATGCGTCCCAATTTTTGGTTCAGTCCTTTAATTCAAGAAGTTGAGTGAAAACAATGGAGAATGTGACGTAATTACATGTTCTCTAATTTATGTTGGGTATCTAAGGCCAATAAAACTTGAGAGCACTATAAAGGTTTGAATGAAATCGATTCTTAATTTCATCATTATTTTCGTTTTTGATCAATTTTTGAATGTGGAAGTGAATTACTGCAATGTTAAAATGCGATGTTAGCTCTGACTTCGATGAAAAAACTGTGACTTTTTAAAAAAAAAAAACTGGTGATTGACAATTTTCAAGTACCGGTAGGTAAACTGAGTGTGAATAGTATCCTCTGTTGAAATATCTTAGCATTTTGGAAAAACATTCTTTTTTAACAAGGCTGTATTAAAAAATATTCATTCATTTCATGGGAAATTGTTATCTTGCTTCAACTGTTTTCCTACATACCCTAATAATTTTTACACCATAAATTCTGATTGTATGTCAATAATGTTAAATAATAAAATGCGTGTATTATTTGTGAAAATTTTTGTTTATTCATTATAAAAGTGTTAAGGAAATCAATGACGATGCAACTCATTTCACAATTTTATTTTCTATTAAAAAAATAATTTTTTTCTGAGGTGTTCCTCAGTTATACGTCCACCTCTTACTTTGTTGGATTTTACAGGTTGAAGCCCTTGGGCATATAGCCAAAGAAGTATGGTATATCAATTTTTGTATGCTTGAACAAAACCTTAATGTTTGTTTCAGTAACATGTTTTATTGAGAAAACAACCATTTTTAACTATCTACAATCATCAGTATTTTTAATGCTAGTTAGTAAATATGAAACTGTGAAGTTTTAATTACTGCAGAAGAACAACTCGTACTACTGGTGATGTTTATTGAGATATAATAAAATTGATCCAAATTTAGGTTTATGATTTATGAATTGACAGAAAAAAAAATGCATTTCACAAGCTCCCATCATCAAGTCAAGCTGCATTTCATATTGTAAATATCCAAATGTGTTGATCCTAGAACTTTGTAAGTCACATGATTGCCACTAAATAGAATATATACTTTCTTATAGATAATAAGAATTGCGTAAAAGTAACAATACCTTAATTATGCCAGCAATGCCAGGAGGTCTACAATTACTGTGATAAAAGAATGCCAACTGGCCTTCTTTCATTTGATCTCTCATGAAATTCCTAGCTTGATAATTCCTGACTCCATCCCAACATGCAGTTTGATTAGGTTCATTAATTAAGTCTTCAATTCCAAACTGTAATTAACAAGTCAAGACTGAAAATTAACTTTTTGAATGTCAAAGTAGACTTTTGTCACCAAATTTACTTTTATAAATTTTTGTTCAAATATTTTGATCAGGACATTCAGCCACTGAAAAATTAATAATTATATCAATTTGATTTAAAAGTAATAGTGAAATAACTAAAAATTTGCAAAATGCACCATTATTTGACCTCTAATTTTATGGCACATCAACAACACAAATATTACAAAAACAATATTTAATACACGACAATCCTTGTGATATTTATTCCTAATTTATTGACAATATAGTATGGTATCACATGGTTGTCGTATAATAATCTCTTTACCATAGATGGTTTTACAATCTATATTTTCAGTGGGGAAAAATAAAGACGATATTGCAGCAGATTTTAGTATTTCTTTTTGAGCTAGATTCTTCATTGAATGAGTGCACTGAAAGTGAAAGTGTAGATATTGTGGACATCAGTATGTCCATGGTACAGTAACAACAGACAATTATATCTTTACTACCGCAGTACAAGGACTGTGTAAACATTAATAGATAAAGCAACAGCTGTCTGTATGATTAATAAATCACACATAATGATGAATTATTAATGAGATTTTTTTTTTTCAATAAGGCTCATGGGATAGTATTTCACAAACATTTGAAATGTAAGATTTTTTGCTTTTTAAAAAGATGTTTATGTATAAAACATTTACAATATTTGCACTGTATGGTTATGTAACACAGAACATTGAATAAAACAACTGATTGCAAGCTGTTTCATACATTATGGGTTATAGTGTACATACAAACACGTGGTGACTTTTTGGAAATGAAGAATCCAGTTTTGAATTGTTAGCGCAATTTTGTTTTTTCTAATTTGAAAAATCTAACGTTATACACATAATTGAGATTTACAAAGAAGACAACAATTTTTAAAGGAAATTATGACCTGGAAAGAACTACAATATGCTCTATATGTTATGTTTCATACTAAAACTATTCTTAGACTGACTGTACTTGAAATACAGCTTCTTAACATTATTCGGTATAATAAAAATGCTGGGGTTGATACACTGATTTGTTGACTCCCATTACTGATGCTTTCTTAGAGTTAACAAATCTGTATATTATATGTTATAGTTATTTAACTAATTACAATACTTACCTTAACATCAATGCCATTTTCATATCTGGACTCTGGTTCTGATTTCATAAGCCAACATTCATATTTAGGGCCTATGACTGTGTTCGATATGATTGGTTTACTGATCTCTTTACTGTTACTTGTTGCTAAGAGAGATTTACAGACTTTGCATATCATATTGATGAATTCATAGGTGCAGTAACAAAATACAAATGAATAAATAAATGAACAAATAATTGTTTAGCTAATACAAGTCTTATGACATGCACAACCATTTTACTCATTTGATATACATGTACCAATGTACATTTTGCTAAGAGTTGTATAGATTTAACAATGAAAAATGTAGGCCCTTTAACAAAACTTCATTGGGTACTGTTGGTTGCTCAGTGTTTCTATAAGAAAACTAATGATCACAGAATTCTAAAAATAAAGGTGGTTGTCATGTCGTGCAGTGCATAGACAGTGCATGTAAATTACTTTGTAAGTTTACATGAAATTCAACGACCACTGCCTTTAATAGGTTCACAAAAAAGTGAAAATTAAAAAAGTGTTATTAGGGACACTAAAAGAAATGTTATAAATAAGATCTTAGTTCGGGCTTTTTTTTTTAAATGTTTTTAATTACCACTGTATTTATTTTTATCAAAACACTTTCTTTCACTTTATTTTATTAGAATTTATTATTTATTTGCTTACAGTGTTGGTGATCGCAAAAGCACACAAGAAATGTGGCATTAGTTAAAGTAATACAAAATAAAATGTATGTATTAATAATAAAAACAATTACAAAATAACGATAAAATAAAATAAAACTCAATTCACGCCTAGCAATACATCAGATTTTAATCCAGATTATAATACATGATTATAACAAGAAAGTTTTTAATTTGTTTCATGAAACAAAATTCTGTATCTCGTTATTACAAGATAGTATTTTTATTTTTATTAAAAGAAGTATTGGTACATCTTTTTTTTATTGATGGCCATAATAATGTACTTATTAAATATTCATGACTACATCACAGCTGATCACCAAATCACGTGCTCGGCATACGAAAAGCAAAGAAAGAATAATTTCAAAACAATAACCTTGTAATCTGCATGTAGTATGAAAACATATATTTCACGTTCATGGCAGGTGTCCAAAGCACAAGCATTGAAAACCCCGATGAAGACAACGTCGTAATCGTGCACATCTCAATGCAAACTTCACTCAAGAAAAACGTCTGGGTGACCAACAACAGTATGACCTGTTCAGACTTCACTACTTGTACATGTTTATACGTTTTATCAATAATACAACGACAAGCTGAAACAGAGTAAAACGCGGTTCACCTGGTGCTGCTGTCTTTCGTTTCTTTCTTGGTGGCATTTTTCGTCGGTCAAAACTACTGTCGTTAGTTGTTACTTGCACAAATTCGGTCTACGAAACCACAATCTAGACTTTGAGGGTAGCGTTGGAAAAGCGCCCTCCCAATGTAATAAATAGAGTTGCTTTCGTCCATGAAATTGGGGGCACTATTACCATCTCCCCCACACGATTTTCGAAACATAACGTGATATAACGAAACATTGAATGATTCCGCAGTTTTCCAAATTTATCTGTGTCGAGAATTATTTTCACCATAGCCATATCATCTAACCAATGAACAGACTTAACATTGTATGGCGCCACCCAGTGTTCAACAAATACAATTTCGCCCAAAGTAGCATACAGAATGCAACAGGAACCACAAGAACTTGCTTTTAAGTTTCAATATCAAAGTAAATAATTTTTAAGGAAAAATGTATATTGATGCATTGCTTATTGATCAGAAAGCCAGGTATGTTAACTGCCATTTCATTTTTTCAACAATATTTGATTTTGCAGTTAGTACCAAAGGCTATATTAAGATTTTTTAGTCTATGTATACGATATGAAATAATTGCTGAGGCAACAGGTGTTACCATCAAGTCTGAGTCAATCAGTGCACAACAGCCACTCCCATACTGTCAGTCAGCAATTTTTAAAAAAATTGGGATCACAGGTATTTGGCCATGTATCAACTAGGTATGGACAAAGGCATGCAATTCTGAGAAAATGAAGCATGGGAATAGAGGCATCCAGTGGAACCTATTTTATTACATGTACTTGTACTATAATCCCCTCTCAACATTACGCATACATGGTTGAAGTCAGCTTATACTTCTACTTTATATGGGAACTGAATCTGGATACAGGGGGAAGAAGGGGCTTCCATCAAAATAGCAAATATTTCTAGCATTGAAAATTAAGCGGTTTATATACCGGTAATATAAAAGACAGGACACACAATTAAACACATAAACATTTATGGTAAACAAGAGTTAAGTGGACGGATAATTACAGAGTATAATTTCAGATACATTTATAAATAGAATGCTCACTACAGTGAAATGTTATAAACAGTAAATTGAATCCAACATAAGGGTCCAACCCAATGTCTGACGTGACCAAATTTCCATAGAGTTCCTTAGCTCTAGTATAGATGGTAGGGCTTCAAACATAGGCTGCTTTAACGGTATACAACCACAGATAATTAATATTCAAAACTTATGTAATTGAAAAGTGTCTTTTTGTAGGTATAGACTTCATTTCAAGAAATCGGTATTCCCAAATGCAGCAGCAGTGTTTTTATCACTTTTCCAATTCATATGAGTAAAACATACCAACAAGTAGATAAAAGAAATATATTGTTTTAAATTCATACATACAAAATAAAACTGCCCTACTCTAATAGTGGAAATATGTAGAAAGGAGCTATTGTTGTTTTTATATGGAAATCTCATACAGCAGACAGACAGTGAGCTTATGATGATGACCCAAGTGAAGGGCAGTCTTTACTCAAGAAATCTCATACAGCAGACAGACAGTGAGCTTATGATGATGACCCAAGTGAAGGGCAGTCTTTACTCAAGAAATTTCGTGGCATGACATAGCCATCTTGTTTATCCCTGTAAGAAGAAAACAAACAAAAATTTTACCATGCCATTTAAATGGGTTAACCCTATAAAGAGCATAGTCGACCTGCCAAAATGATGGTCAAACATTATGGATTCTTTCTTAATTTTGAACCGAATATTTACAATCATCAAATATGTATTGTACATTAAGCATGTTTTGAGTCCACTATAATTCTATGACCCTTGTTTATGGTTTTTATGTTTTATTTCATGTATACTGTGGAATCTCAAGAACAGAAAATGGTCAACTTATAAACAGTCTTTCCAAACTGATAACGTGACATTTATAAGCATGGAGACATACTAGTACCGGTACCATATTTGCTCTATTAGAAGCACATTTTTATAGTTCAAATGAACTAAATCTGTGGTCTTCACTAGACTTACTAAACAATACCAATACATCACATTTATAAATAAATAATGCCTATATTTATGACTAAATCCTTGAAGACATCTTGGTAAATGGAACACTGCAATTGATACCCCCTCCATCAGATCCATTCTGTCTATTAACATGAAAATGTTTTCTGCATTCTCACCAATCTGCATCAATGTATTAGTAAATCAAGCCATACAAGCCGATACTTACACGTGGTATTGCAGGTATTCAAATACACCTTGTGTTTGTTCTTCTGATATCTCTCCATCTATCTGTCCCAAGTATGTATAAAGGTCTTTAAAAAGTGAAAATGAAATACGAGCTGCACCACCCTCGGGGTCACTGGTCACTATCTCACAAATGATTTTCATGGCTTGGGTAATGTTCTGTGTAAAATAATGATAAAACACAATATGAATTATGCATGACTGTAGCATGGACATCTGACTCATAATAATAATTAGGTACTGATGAATTCACACTGATTGGTAACATTAAATGATTTTAAAAATATCAAAAACATATTAGAAGCAGAATTTTCATAAATATTTCTATCTGCAAACTGTATAAAATAATCAAGGGACATATTGCTAATAACTAAGAATTTTTATAGCTTCAGTCTGGCAATTTTTATTAGAAACAACCCAATCATTCAAAATCTTTTTGATGGGACATAAAGTGCATGTATGCCTATAAAATGATATAGTAAATTATTAAAAGCATTATAACACAACACACACCACATGTGGATGTGCTCCAGCAGAGCAAGCTTACAAAGTAATTTACAGAATGAATACCTACCCCGGCAAGGCTGGAACAAGCAATGGCAAAGAATTTAAGCCACTCAATCTCATCCCCAAAACTACCTATTGTAAGTAGGTTATCAAGCTGTTCTTTTGGCAGGCAATTGTCTTTCCATTTCTTCTCTAGTTCCGATTGTGGAAGCTTCTTTTTCGGACCAAGCTATTTTAAAAAGAAAATTAATTTTATAATACAATAGTCTTGGTGAAACATTATTACTACTATCATACAGAGACAATACATGTTTTAAGAGTTCCAGTGTTGCACATACCCCGGTAGTTGTTTGATATCACTACAATGATGTAATTCAATGAATTCTAAATGCAGCATAAAATGTCTGGACAAAAAAAAATTGAGCATAGCATAGAATCTTCAAACTCGTCATTCAGAACATGATTTGCAAGCCAATGTACAACTTACCTGTCTGTTTAGAACAGATAAGATCCCTGGAGTTAATCCAGTGTCTGTCTTCTGTGTTGCTACTGGCATCTCAAGTCTTTCTTTCACTGGGGGTGTTTCTCCATTTGACAATGCATGGAAATACCTAGATATAAATTAAAATAATTATTACCGTATTCTACACTCCTATATTATAACTCAGTATGTTTGCAGTTTACAAATTACATGCAAAGAAATCTGTACAGAAGTAAATATCATAAAGTGGTCCAGTCATATTCAGCCCAAGATTGTGTTAAAGCATATTATAATTTTATAAATTTAGCAAACACACTCCCAGTGTTTCCAAAGGACAATGTAACAATCTAGATGAAAAAATAGTCCTGTGCAAGTATGAGTGCTTATATGTAAGTGCATTCTGCCACAGAGACCATATTTCAGTTTGGAACGTGACAGGGCTGTATGATCATCTTCCTATGGCATTACAGCAGTTTAATTCACTATCTTAGTGTCAACATTGAGTCTGTGCCACACTCACACAGGGTACTAGGTGTTGATCTTTTTTTCAGTGTGCGATGATACAACCACTATGTTACATAACATAAAGCAACATAAAGATTACATGTATTACATGTTTAGAATACAAAGAGGCTTTAAGCATAGAGTTTTACAAATCTCTGGGTTATGAAAAGTATATAGATTGTACTTACGCAGCTGACCACTGTAAAACATCACCTGGTTGGGTTCTGATGGCAGCTTTGGTGAACTGTTTCAAAATATCGGGAAGATCTGGTGGAATATTGATCTGCTGAGAGCAGTACATTGGTGCATCTGAACCTTGACCTTCAGCTACGCTTGGCATTCTGGTGGATTATATGTCACTCTGTAATAATCAAAATACATATTCATAGCGGCTTTGAACACAAATGGGATTGTGTATGTATGTTAAAACTACTACAACTTTGTAATCCACAGTTCATGATCTATTTTAGAATTTATGCCAAAAGTATAATGGTGGTAATAATGGTTCTGTTATGATTTCCATGACAGTGCATTGTGGCGTAATGGGAAACATGTAAGAAGTTCAAATCTCGTGTTTCACATTCATATACCAGCCTAACAGCCTAAAATGATTTGTTAACTTTCATTATGGTGTAATAAATGAAATTATTATTATTATTATTATACCAGTATGTAATTGTACCCGTAATTTTGTGTCTAAAAGAAATAAATGGTATATTTTTGGTCAAAGCTAGAGTGAATATGAAGATAGACATACACATGTAGACATAGAAAGAGTTTCCATTATATATATGATGTACCCCCATAGGGTCCAGTAAAGTGACAATATTGACAATTTTCACATCTAAGAAATGGTAGAAGATACTGTAGATAAATAAAGGATGACGATAATGATAATAAACGTCTACAGTCTACATCCAAGTCCTAGCATGCAATTATGGAGATGCTGATGTTGAGGAATTATATACATGCAGTTGTACAAAAAAGAAATCAAATATCCAGCAAATAGAACCAGATGAAAATGACCTGCATAGTAGGTGTTCAGACAATTTATCCAGAATGTGGGAAAACATTTTAAAATTGAGAATGAAGCTTAGTGTTTGTTTGTTTGCTATTTTTTCTTTGATTGTTTTGTTGTGTTTCAATATTCTCCAGAAGATATTATGAGTTGATAAATATACATCTACATGTAGCAACGAAAACAATAGGATCTGGCATTTGGTAAAAAGCCATTATCAGCACATATTCTAAAACATATCAACACTCATTCAAACGTTCATGAAATTAAAACAGACTAAATTGCATCAAATTAAAGTTTGAATGAGGGGATTTATGGTTATTAAAAACACAAATATTTGTTTTTCTCTGCCTAATTGATGGGATTATTGCATTTCTTGTGCCATGCTTTGTTTTCTTGACTTGTATGTAAAAAATGATGCTACAGGAGGTAGAAGGGGGAAAGGGTTATTTTTGTTTGCCATAAATGTTGTATTGTGCTTGAAAAATATCTATCGCTGTATATGCATCAGATACGGTACATGTTGTTACACCATCAGTGATTGGATGGTGCATTGATTTTACGGTGGTCTGAGTTTCACAACTTGTGTTTTTTTAAGAAGGTTGTGATAAAAAATTAAATATTACTGATTTATTATTTGAATTTTAAGTCCTCAAGTGACTGTGGTCCTACCAGTGTACATGTCATGCCACTGGGGCTTGGTTTTCCACATGACTGTATGTATGATTGCTAAGCAGAAAATAATTACCATGGTAACCAGATTGACATGATGTCCAATGTATAAAGACCATTTTACAGTGCGCGACAAA